AAGGGTGGTGTGGGGCAAGGGGGGGGGGGGCAGTTATTTATTTTTCATTCTTATTAAAAATTTTAAAAAATAATTATTTAGGGATCTGCAGGTGGTGTGGTGGTTAAGGTGCTGGACAATCCCACATGGCTGACCACGGTTCGAGTCTCGGACCTGGTGGCTTGCTCTTCACTTTCCCTCTCTCCCTCTGTGTCTCTCTCTGGTCAAATTAATATAAATGAATGAATAAATAAAGTTAAATTATTTTTAATAATTATTTATTTAATTTTATTTATCATTACTATTTTTTAATTTGCTACTGGGCACATGTGTTCACCAGAAACAGAGAGAAGGCAAGTGAGAAAGCAAGCTGCTAAGTCGAGGACTTGAACTGCAGTCAGTCATATGGGAGACCAGTGCCTCAACCACCATGCCAGCTGCTGGCCCCTATTTATTTATTTTTAAATCCTTATTTATACTTGAAATGAATAAATCTTGAGATTTAAAAATTTTTAAGTTTTTTAACTTTGTCAGAGGGCACGTGTGCTTACTGGAGACAGAGAGAGGGAAAGAAAGTGCGCCCCCATGAGGAACGACCACGCTACAATCTCTTCTCCTTCATTTCTCTCTCCTTTTAGGATTCTGGCCATGCATACACACGTGCATGGTGTGTTTTTCAAGTTGCCAGGCCTAATGTCTGGGATTCAAACTGCTCAGTCAGCCATGTGGGATCCAGCCACTCTAACCACCATGCCACCAACTGGCCCAAGGGGTTTTCTTTTTTCTTTAAACAGAGGTTTCTGTCTTAGGGCACATGCGCTCACTGGAGAGAGACAGACAGAAACAGTGAGAGGGAAAGTGAGAAGTCACCCCCCAGGGAGATGGCCATACCACAATCAGTTCCCCTCCTGGGATCTTGGGCATGCATGCATATGCCCCCAGTGTGAGTTTCAAGCCACCAGGTCTCGTGCTCGAACCATTGTAGGTCATGTGGGAGTCCAGTGACATAACTGCTATGCCATCTGCTGACCCCTGAGGGGTTTTCTAAGGAGATGACAGCCTGGCTATTCCCCACCGAGCTGCCACCCTGCAGTGTCTCTTTCCTGAGAACTGGATCCCCCGGAGCCCCGAACACCACAGGTGTGAAAAGGCTCTGCATGGAGGCACATGGCCTAGGACGGAGGTATGGGCAGGTGGCAGTGCAGCATCCCACCTTGGTGTGGTAGCCGGGGAATAGGCTCTCGGTCATGGGCCCCACGTACGTCCTCAACAGCTGCAGCCACTGGTCCTCATAGCCCACCTGCTTCATGTGGATGTCCACGGTGGGCACGTTCTCGTAGCCGCCGGCCAGCCTCGAATCCTGTGGGCACACTGGGTGCTGAGCTGCCCTCACCTCCTCCAGGCATGGTCCACTGCAGGGCAGGGCCAGGTTCTTCCTTCCTTTGGTCCCCAGGACATAATCCTGTCTTCCCTCCGTCTGGAAAAATCTTTTCTACCACTCTCAGCTAGATTCACTACTCCTTTAAGTCTCGGCAAAGCCATCACCTTTTCTGTGAAGCCTCCTGCTTCTCCCCAGCCAAGGGTCCCTCCTATTACTAGCTACAGCTGCTACTCAGAGGGCAGAGCTCAGCCTGCACGATGTATCACTGCTCCTGCAATGCCCAGTAAGAGTTTATGAGAGACTGAATAAACTGAGTAAACATGCAGCTGTACCCTGGGGATACCCCTCTGCTCCACTCTCCTGATCCCACTGCTTCTCCATCAGATCCAGCATCTCCCTCCTCCTGGGAGTCCTCCTTCCTCTCCTCCCCAAACCCTCACCTCATGCCGGCCTCCTGACCACTGGCCGTAGTGCTCCATTTCCTCCACCAGCTCGTCGCACATTTGGTCCGACAGCAGTGGGAACCAGTACACGTCTGGGCAGGGCTGTGGACAGGGCAGGGAGGACAGGGCTGGAGTGACGTGTAAAAGCAGAAGGGGATGGCAGTGAATGAAGGTGAGGAGTGGCAGGGAGGAGAAAGGGAAGCCTGAGATGAGAAGCTGGGGGAATGGACCTTCGCTGGGAATGCCAGGACCAGGGAGGGAAGGGCAAGGCTGAGAGCTATTCATCTGGCACAGTGCAGATGGCAGGAGGGTCCTGGAGCCCCAGCTTCTAGCACAGTGGTTCTCAAACAGTACATCCCCTCTTTTTCTTTCTTTTTTTTTTTTTTTTTTTTTTTTTTCAAATATTGTTATAGAGCGTGTGCGCTCGCCAGAGAGAGAGAGAGAGAGAGAGAGAGAGAGAGAGAAAGTGAAAAATCACCCTCCCAACCCCTTCTCCTCTGGTATTCTCTTGGGGTTTGGGGAGTGATGCATATGTGCCAGGCATGATTTTCAAGCCACTGGGTTCAGAACTCGAATTGTGCTGTCGGCCATGCGGGATCTAGTGCCTTAACCTCCACTCCACCTGCGGGCTCAGTACTCCCCTCTTTAAAGGTGTTGCTTCACTTCACCCATAAGACCGATGTCCTCAAGAACCAGTAGAGGAGTCACCCAGCTAGTGCTGGAGTTGGCGGCTAGAGCCCTGTCCGCCCCATCTTTGCCTCCATCCTGCCTGAGCTGGGCACCTGCAGCTCCTGGGGGCACTCGGTATGAAAACTGCTCATCCAGGGCAGTGAACATTAGGAGTCAGGGTCCTGAGTGGGTGTACCTGTTCCACAATCCCCTCTCCTTCCAGGGCCCGGCTGTAGTTCTCATGAATGTACTGCTCCTTCCAGTCCTGGGGGAGGGTCAGGGGCACTCCTTAGATGTGTGCCCTCTTCTCTC